CGCCTGCACAGGACATTGAACTATGAGTTCTTGGCGTGGCCAAATTTCCGTGTATACATGTGTGTGTGTGTGTGTGTGTGTATGAACCGTTTCGACACTTTTGCTAAATTTATTGCCGATTATTTTTACATTTCTTTTTCAATTTGTATGCCAGCGCCTCGGCCCTCATTCTCTGTTATTTTTTGTTCGTTTCGCTGCAATTATTTTTAACGCTTTTGTTGATTTTCCATTGATTATTTTATGTTAGTTTTGCCAGGGCAAAATATTCTCTATGTGCATGCCTTTCTGCATTTCTTCAGTCAACTGATTGAGAAGGTTTCTAAGGGAATAAATCACAAACAAATTTTCGAGTAGATAACACATTTGATTGGTGGATAAAGGCATGCCAAATAATAATTAACTACCTAACATTTCTAGGCAACAAAAACTCTGCAGACGAACGGCTCATTGATTCGAAGAGAGCTGCCGATATGTATGTATGTTTATGTATATATAAGTATGCCTGCTGCAGAGCAGTCGATGCAATGCAACAGTACTCAGCCGAGCTACGAACACTAAACGTCGGCTTCGTCAGATCAAGCCGAACTGCTGAACGAATGAATGAGGAGAGAAAAGGAGTGAGCGAATGAGCGCAATTTCTTTAMATAGACTCCACTTATGTATGTATGTGTGAATGTGAATTCGGCTACTGTACGACGCGCCACCTCAGCTAGATCAAGCCGAAGCGCTGAGAACACGAATGACCATCTAGAAGAAGAGAGCGAAAGTGTGCAAATGAACGCAATCTCTCTCAATTGCTTAGACTCACAATTTAATTTAGCTCGACCTCTGCCGCTCTTTAGTTCTAGTGCGCGACGTAAGCTGCTGCAATATGTATGTTTGTATGCAATGCATACTATGCATGATATACTATGCATGTATGAACATTACATGCATATAATCAAGGCGAGGGCCTCAGGAGCCAATGATTAATTTTACTTAGTTTATATTAACTCTGAAGTTATAAAAAGAATTTATTTAATTTTTAGATTTATTATATTTAATATTTTTTAATGAACAAAATTTAATTATAAATTTAATCTAATTTTTATATATATAAATACATTATATATACTTAAAAAAAATCGCTATAAGCTAATATCTCTGAAATAAGGTTCATAGAAGGTTTGCAAAATCAAACTTTACTAATGTAAAAGAAAACTCAGATTTAGCAAAATTCGGGGAAAATAAATATGAAAATATTGAGCAACTGCAATAAAGGGTTTTCTATCCATCTCCATTCAATATATCATAATGCAGTTCCATTAGCAGCTGCTATTTGTGGATTTGTGCCGGGATCCATTTATAACGCCTGCATATGCATGACGTCGACTATTGTCGCTATCGGCCCTGGGCCTGGCATAAATCAGAAGTGGAGCGAGTGGCCGGGACATTTCTCATGCGCACACATGACTTGGCTTGCAATTAAGAGAAATATATTAGTCTCGCAGCTGATTTAATTATTTAACAATGAAGTCCAAGCGCGAATGCCGGGACAACCAACAGGCCACGCCCATAAACAAGCGAAATGGCCAATTCCAGTTACAGCTACAGTTACAGTTACAATTACAGTTCGAGCTCGAGTTCCAGCTGCCAGCTCGACCCATCTAAGCGCTTCAGACAACCGCATCACAGTCAGACAAAAGCATCAACTGGGCAAGCCAAAGGGGCTGGGGGTGAGGTGGAAGGGGGTGGGGCATAGGAGGCTGGGCTGTGTGTAATTGCAGCAGCGCGCATAATTCATATCAAATGACCATTTTAAAATCCTTTTATTTCGTTGCGTCGTCCTGGGGGCTGCACAGGGGCGGGGCAGCCCAGAGCCCACAGCCCCAAAATATTTGAAATAATAATTCTTCGAGATAAATTACCCCAAAAACAGGTGTGTGTGTGCGCCACTCTAAATTGCCCGGCTTCGTGTCCGGGTCTGGGTGTGGGTCCAGGCCTGAGTCTGGGTCCAGGCATGGGTACTGCTGTTGGTCGTAGTTCTGGTTATGGTTATGGTCTTAGTGCTAGCCTCACAGCGCGAGACAATGACACAGAGCCGCCACAACAACAACAACAGCAGCTACTAAGGCAGGCCATCACTCCTCTAACCAATCCCAGTGCCCGTTCCAGTTCTGCGTCCGGACACCGTTTCCCATTCGAGCTCGTGCGCTGGCAGTCGGTCAGTGGACAGTCGTCGAATGGCTGCAGCGGCAGCGGCAGTGGCAGCAGCAGCAGCAGCAGCGGATGAGCTTAAGTGCTCGCCTTCTGGCTGCTCCTCGCTCCTCCCTCTTCGCTCTGCGTTTGGCATTTAGCATCAGGAAATTATGCTGACGCTGCCAACTGCGGGCCAAGCTGCGTCCATGGCCAGGGCAATCAGCGGCGTCTGCAGATGTGCATGCACATGTCCATGTCCCTCGTATCTGTCTCATATCTGCTGCTGAGTTGCTCTCTCTCTCTCTCTCTCTCTGCCGTCTCTCTCTCTTTCTCTTTATATCTCTTTCTCTTGCAACGCCCGCTCTAATGAGTTGCCGTGCCTCGCCAGGGCATATGTTGTCCCCCAGTGGGACACTGTGGCTGCCGAGCTGCATTTCTCGCTTGATTGCCAGCCCGCTGGCCCGCCGGCTGCTCTGTCACACAACTGGGTGCAAATTATGGCACATTTCAAATACATAGCGCCCAAATACACTGAGAGAAGATTTATGAAATAAATCACAAATCATGTAGTTATAAAAAAGAGTGAAATAAATTGAAATTGAAATTGAAAATATGCGTAATTTTATTAATTTTTTATTTAATTAATTTATATA